TTTTTAGCCAAACTTTACAGATAGTGCTTAAAACATATTTAAGACTCGTACCGGGCGTCGGAACAAAAATACGAGCCCGATACCACAGTTTTCTGATCAATTTCCTTCTTCATTTTCCTTAATTAATTTCAGAAAACAATTTCACACAAAATTTCATTCCTCGGGGCTTGAGACCTCGGAATTTAATTCCGGGTACATGCCCAAGTCCCATATTTTTCTACGGACCCTCCGGGACCGTCGAATCACAGGTCTGGGTCCGTTTACCCAAAATGTTGACCGAAGTCAATATTATGCATATTAATATCAAAATCCATCAAATTTTTCACATAATTCACATATTCTAACATAAAAACTTTCCGGCTACGCACCCGAACTACGCACACAAATTGAGGCAACTAAAAGCGAGGCTTTCAAGGCCTCGGAAGTGCAGAACAAGAAAGAACTACGGTGATGACTCTTTGGGTCGTCACAAAGAACTGCATATTCAAAATGGTGAACTGAAGGGTTTTGAAGGCTACTCTTATTTTTGAGGAAGCCGGCGCATTTTTTCAAATAAAATGATTTAATAATCTAAAAAAATTTAAAAATAAAAAAACTGAAGAGAAGTTGGAACGGTTTACTCATGAGAAATTGGAACCGGTTATTATTTCTAATAGTAACTTCCTAATGATTAATTACTTATTTGAATTGAGTAAATAACTACCCCTTCTTCAAATAATAGATATTTAAATATTTTAATTTAAAATTTAAAACTAATTAATAACAAATTAACTAAGTTTTGTCCTAAAAAAGAACACATGGCATTCTCTTACGCTGCCACTTGGCATAATCTCAAAGTGATGCCTTGTGCTCAATTAAGAGTTTGGCTAGTTTTATTCTGAATCTATGTGTCCATTATGTTGTGTTAAGGTCAATTGTTACAATTCTTAGTTGCCTATCCAAAAGAAAAGGTTACATTTTGTTCATTTATGTGGTTTAAATATGATAAATATTTTTTCTTGGTGTTTTGTATTTTGGATGAATAAAATAAGCAACTGTGAATGCAAAAAGGCACTATCTTTACTTTTACCCTCATTCAAGCTATTGGCCTCGCTGGTTGCTGTATACATGTGCTGCCATTGAATTTCTTGAAACAGATTCTCCTATTTCCACCACAATTTTTCTTGGTGTCATGACGAACTTAGAGTATCTCTAACTCTAAGTTGATTTTACAAAATATGGTCCTATCAAGTAATAGCAAAATAATTAAAACTACTAAGTAGAATTTAGATCCAGTAGCCTTAAGATCGATACTGATTGTAACGACTCTAACGCTCTCACCCGACCTAGAAAATATACTTGTCATGAATAGAATAAATTTGTTCCTTCTTTCGAGTCATGTAGAATTATTATTAATATTTCAGCAAACTTAGCACTTTATGGAAAGAAGTTCAGTCATGTAGTTGAAATGTTCGTCAACTAACTTTATGATTCATCCCTGGAGGAAGATGCAAGTTATCAATGGTTAACATAAAAATCTATCAAAAAAATGAGATAATTTAACTAACATTAATTCAAGATTGTGGACTGTCTTACGTATCTATATAGAAAAATTTTAACAACTGAAATAACCATGAACTGATTCAAATATCTTGTCCATAGCAAATGAAAATACCAAATTAACTAAACAGGAAAAGTTCAATACCAAGAAAAACATGAAATGATTCAAATATGTTGTTCATAACTAATAAACTAACTAATAAGACAGTTCTTAGTTTCTACAACTCGTACATATGCAAACAACTTATGCTATCTTCTTCTTTTTAAATACTCTCTTGATCTTATTTTCCGATAACTATGCATTCGAATCTTCTTCAACCACTGCTACAGGATTAGTTAAACCTATCTTGGCAGGTGTATGTGCAACATCGATCAACTCATTATCTTCAGTAGAATCCTACATATTTAAAACACAAAAACATGTGAAAATCAATACTTAATCTAAAGTTGTTGTTGCTTTATTATTTTATAACTTGCAAATCATTAAATTAAAAGAATGAATTATGTAAAATAATATTTATAATGAGTTGTAAAATCACCGTGATTTTGTTATCTTCCTGAATGACTTCGTTGTTATTGAAATCTGGATCCTACAAAGAAATGTGTATCATAATTAAAATTTAATGCAATCACAAATAGGAAAACTGATAAAAATTGAGTATAGAAACATACTTTGAACGTCTCTTCTTGTGGAGAAGGAATATATTTCTTTATAATTTCCTCGTCGTCAGTAAGTGTAACAACTCTTATGACTACATCTTTATTCTGATTGTTGGAACTGTTAACCTCAACTTTAAACATGACCCTTTTTTCAACAATATTTTTTATCTTCATTGGACATGATGAGTCGTCTGCAGCACCAGAAGTCTAACAAAAAGACATAATGATTCTGGTTAATAGAAGCTACAACAACAAAAGTAAAAAGTAAATGTAATACGGTGTACACATTTTATTTGTTCCTAATAAGAATATTGTAAAAAAGACGATGCTTCAATTCTCATAGTAACTATGTTTTTAAGCATAGGCTAAATGCGAGGAATAATACACTAAATAAAGCTATTAATATAAAAAGACTAAAGTAGAAGATGGGAAACTAAAATGAAAGCATAAGTTTTCTGATGCAAAATGCCTCTTTGTTCATTAACAATTCCTGAATTTTGTCGCCAAACTCCAACCATTTTAATAATATTTTGTAACCTCAAATTCAGCAACATCGTCATCAGAGATGGAACCATTTTTTCTTGTTGTTTGTTAATCACTATCTTATAAAGATTGAATAGGTAGTGTTAATGTCAAAATTATTCTAGATTTCATACAATACTTGTAAACAAAAGTAGATTTGCTTGAGTCTATGTTGCTTTTTATGTGTTTAGTTGCAAAAGAACAAACCTAGATTTTAAAGAACTTCAAAACAAAATGAATCTTTAGGGGTAAGCTAACAATAGAACTTAACCTTAACTACAATATCTTAACTTTAGCGAAACTCAAGGACACCCAAAAACAGAGAAATATTGTCATACTTTTAAAGTTCAAACTTCTCAAGTAAATCTAATAAGAGCAAAGGCATACAGATTTAGCAATAACTTTATTTGAAATTTAAAAATCATATCTTAATCACTTTGTAACTTAAACTTAAAAGAACTTTGACGTTTAGTTAAGTTAAAGTTCTTTCAAATACATCAGTCCTCACATGCATATAGACACAAAGTGAACTACCCCATCAATAAAACGGGAAGGAGATGCAGGGGAATGGATCAGGTACCACTTCTTTCAACGTTGATGGTCTTATTTTTCTAAGCAATTATATTATACCTCAAATTCAACATCCTTTAAATCATTTGCTGACTTTCCGATAATCTTAGTTGCATCCTTATCCCATAACAGCAAAGAAATTGTGTCGGTGCAATCCATCACTTTAACTTGTAGTCTGTACTTGAAAAAGTTTGTATTTTTAAAATCATATAATAGTAAAGAAAGTATAAATTACAGTCATACCTATGAATGACAGATTGAATCTGCTCGCATTTTTTACAATAGAATTTACTCCCCGCTTTTTCTAGTTTCTTTGAGCAATTTTTGCATGCTAAATAGCACCATCCACGACCTAATTCAATGTGTACAATAGTTGCTACAACCCAGTAATTTCCTGATTGCGCATAAAAATTATATATACAATTATTATGTAGAGAAAGATGAGATAAGTAATTAAAAAGTAAAAAAAAAATTAAAAAGTAGGTACTGACATGGTTACAGTCACCCAAATCCTCAACATTTTTAACTTTAATACTTCCAGATGCTAGCTCATTAGCAACAGAGTGAGTTTTGTGAGATGAAATTTGAGTAATTCTTTGTGAGCTTTCTCCACGCAAAGAAACCATTCTGTTTCATTTTTTAACTTGAGATACGTTAATAAATTGTAAGACTAAAATTTAGGATGAAATAGACTTAAATTTAGCCCAACTTATAGAAACCTGGAGCAAAAGTCAACAACTTGAGGAAGATTTGAATTGATCCAAAGCTTCGATACGTGCCAAGTGTTCCTCACCGAATATTGTTCTGCACGCTTAAAAGTAATTTTTAAGAGTTTACTAATTGTATAGAGATATTGTATTGCAAAGTAAGTAGACAATTTAATAACTTCGAAATCGATGTGCTTTAACCAATTGCATGACGACGACAACAGGCTTATCATTGGATCTATTCAAATATGGCTTAATCTGTTCCACAAAGTCTCCCCAAAGAGTTGCAGAAATATTGTTACTCCTACATTTATTATAAGGTTAAGCATAGGAATCAAAATAAAGAATTGTTGAAATGTTTACTTAGTTGAATAAATTGTGGCCATCTTACTCATAATCTTGTATCTCAATGTTCATGTACATACGGATGTTATCATCTTGCTTGATAGATTGTACGTCCTCATAACTCACAACTTCGCCAATGACATCTACAAAGCAAGGAAATATGTGCAAAATTAGTAATCATTATAGATAATATAAATGAAGATTGTAAAGGAATTAAATACTTAGATGTATATTTCAGAGGCAACAGGTATCAATTTTTATGAGTTTTGTGAAAAGGGAAGGTTTCAGAGAATGCAAAGTAAACTGTAGGCATGAACTCCATCAGCTACCTATGGAATAAGAGATCAAAAGCTAACCTTAGGCCTTCATAAAACCACTGAAAAACTATCTGTAAATACTATATAAAGTAGTACCAAGACTATACACCTGTAATGGAGATGTTCAAAGAAATAGTACAATATTGACCTTTATTTAGTTCCATACGCCTACAAAGGCCTTCTAGAAATCAGATTATGATTTTCGACAGATGATTTAACAATGTCAAGAAATTCAGCTTTAATCTAAAACTTAATCTTTAATGTTATGTACTGTGATTAGTATTGATTTAATTCACACTTAGAATTCATAAGATAGAAAACAAATAAGGCAAAGTAAAATGAAAGTGGAAAAAATGAGAGAAATTTAATTACCAAATAACTCAGTATTGTCAAATTCTTGGGGATTTGACAGCTGCTCATAGGTTCTAAATTTGAAAATACACATGTTGAATTGTGGACATGTATTTCGTCAACAGTGGTCTTATGCGGGAACATCAACTTAAACTTGTGGTCTTTGGTCTTAAGCTTCATATTATTTGGACAAACCATAAAATTGTTCATGAGGTACAAACCAATTTCCTTAATTTCTTGTTTGAACCTTTGAATAAAACACCTGCCAATACTTGCGTGAATGCGGTCGCCCTACAAAAAAACTCAATTAGTTAAAATGACTAAGTTATTCCGTATACGACTGTAATATACTTACGCATATGTAAACAATGATAAATGGAAAGTAATTATAATGTTTTAAACAATACCTTTTCATCCATCAGAACAATCTCAATGGAAAAGGGGTTGTCAGGCCTGTCGCGGTCCGGATTTTTCCAAAGCCTCACAATATGAACCTTTAACTTTCAATTCATTGATTTGCTGTTAATTTCACTAATGAAATTGATTTCAGACGCCATTATATCCTGAAAATAGACAGAGGTATGTGTAAATATAAGTAGAAACTAAAACTTCACGGAAATTATGTGTTAAAGGAATACAATCTCAACTGGAATAAAGATCGTTCATGAAATACAAATCATACCAATCACTTCTTGTAGTGTAAAATTATTGTTTGATATGCACACGATGGAGAAAGAAAAGAACTATATACTGTAAAAGTAGAACTGATTTGATAAAACCGTGAAATCATGTTACTGGAATCGTGGGCAGATGAGTTCGTGGATAAGGAGTTGATATCGTGATAAGACATCGTGTGATTGAGGTGCCGAATTTGGAGGATGAAATTTTTAGGGCAAAGATATGAAAATGGCGTTCCCAATTGCCAGCGGCTAAGGTTTCAAAATATATCTATATACCTATTTAATAGGAATGGGTTTTTCTTTTAAAAGACACGTAAAAACTACTTCTTCTTCTTTTAAATATAGAATAACGTGCTTTTTAAAAATATATATATATAATACCTAATTACTAATTGTTTTCAAATTAAAAATTTAATCTTTTAAAAGAAACGTAGAAACTACTTCTTCTTCTTTTAAATATAGAATAACGTGCTTTTAAAAAAATATATATATAGAATACCTAATTACTAATTGTTTTCAAATTCAAAATTTAAAAAGAGAAACTAATTTTACCTAAAATAACTAATTTTACCTATAATAATAAATAAATAGATAAATTTTGTTGGGACTAATATTGGTGCCTAAGTATGATTGAAGACCATGACAGTACTATTCGAAGAAACTTTCCCAAAACCTGTGAAGCTATGTGATGACCCAATAATGTCATCTTTAATTTAAATATTTATTTCTATGTTTCATGAAAATGTCAAGAACTTACCTGCTATGAGTTGAGTATCACTTAAATAGTTGATGTATATGGCGTTTCTTTTCTAGCAACATATTGCTTATGAGGTCACTATCAGAATTATTTTTCGTATGGTGTTATGTTGATTGGATTGTGTATGTGTTGTTATGATTGGTTCTTGGGATTCTCTGACAGGTGGATAGGCCTAGTTACAAAGGAAACTCTGACAAAAATTTTGAAAAACTTGGGAGTTAGTCAAAATTTGGGAGTTAGAGATGTGTGAGAAAAGCGATAAGTTATGCTAAGTGTTTGGGGGTCGAATCTACTTCTCATTCGAGGACTATTAATATGATGGATACCAATTAGATATGATAATAGGTGTACGAGGCATATTAGAAGAGATATGGGGTCTAAGGAAAATCCTAAGTGTAAGCCAAGTTGGAAAATTTCATAATAGACTAAAGTTGCAAATGAGTACGCACAAGACCTTACTTTGGACGAGCATATCTACATATATATAAGGATTTGTGTGAGACACAACCTATCAAATTAAAGCTCTATGAGTCTAGTTTCCAGAACATTAAACCGATTGTCATTTGGAGGTGTATACAGAAAGTTATAACCGTTTTACAAAAAGTTAGCAGAGCAGGCTACGCAACCTGCGTATGACTACGCAGCAGGCTACGCAACATGCGTAGCAAAAATCAGAATTTGGCCAAATTGAAAGCCTCCTGCGTAGGTTTCATGCGTAGGCTACGCAGAACTAGAGTTGAATTTTAAAGAGCTGAAAACGTGGGTTTAGAGAGAGAATGAGTTAGTTCTTCAACTTGGAATGAATTTTCGAGAGAAGGAGGAGCTCTTCCAGCATGGATACACTTCAAGGTAAGTTATTTTGGCATAAAGATGATTATATAACATCACTAGGTGAGAATACTAACATTATTATTGTCACGACCCAAAATCCCAACCTGGTCGTGATGGCGCCTCACGAGAGGACAAGGCCAGTCAATCAACAAAACAGTACATCTCTTTATAATTACTTAGCAGGAATAAGTCTAAATCATGGGCAATATAATCTTAAATGCGAAA